ATACATACAAACAAATTCACTGGTAATTTTATCAATATCAACATTTCCAAAACAATTTTAATAACTGAATATTATGGCTAATTAAATAATCTCTTATAGTTCTTTCAAAAACTGACTTTCTCAACAATTATAATGAAATACAATGCAACCCTAGTATGCAACCCACCTTTTCAATGGAATGTATTAAAATATATATACACATACAACACGATGCACACTAACAAGCATTAATACACAAACACATAAATACTAGCAATTTGGCGTATCACATAGTGCTGTTATAGTGTTATATATTTAGAAATGTTTTGCCGTGCGCGCAAATACACTCGCTCACAAAATCATAGCGTTTACGTCATAGTAGGTGACGTGGGATCGATTTATTGGTCACGCAAATTTTATTCCACCCCATAAAAAATGAATTTTTGATCTGTAACAAGAAAACTATTTGGCAATGTTGTTTATATGTATTATATTTCACTGATATCAATAATAAATTTAGCGGAACATTTTTATAAGTACATCAAAAACTGAATTAAAAGTGTTATTTATAGTACACATAATATAACAAAAGTTTTCTAATTTGTGTATTAATCTAACAACTTAATTTAAAAATCCTCAACTAAAATTATTTAGTAAATAAATAATTTCACTTTAAATATAAACAGATAACTTCTACAAAAACGACTTGGTCTATTAATAATAATCAATGCCATAGCCATTTTTTTAACTATATTTAATGAATTAGTATTAACAACATAAAACAATAGCAAAGTAATAATCGATTACATGGCTTGGCATTTACATAAAGATATTAAACCAAGTACTGGAGAATTGAAATATAATTAATTCTATTTCAATAAATAAGAACGACGTCTAGATTTTATAGGCTATACTATAATTGTTTGATTAATTAATAATAATATTTATTTAAAAGGAAATAAAATTTACTTCAGTTTATCGCGGCTAGTCGTTGTTCGAATGAATATTTAATCTATACTCTATGTAAAGCATAGAAAAAAGGGTCTCCTGTTGTAATCTAATCAACAATTATTTATTTTATTTTAATACAAGTTAATTTATCAATGTTTATACAATTCATATTTTACCGTTCTATTTTTATTAAACAAAACAAGGTAGACTTTGTTTACAATAAGTGTTATCGTTTAAGTCTTCATTAAGATTGTCTGATAATAAATATATAAGCTGGCAAATTCTTTCTTCAAACAGGTAATTTTTATGAATAAATCTATCCCTTAAAAATACTCTCAATAATTGATTGGCCCTCTAACCAATAATAAATATTATGATCATAAGATTTAAAAGTTAATAATGAACACATCAAAATTACTTGTGTACTGTACTTCAGTTCCTCCGAAATTACATTTTGTAATTCTAATGCCATAATTATTTGTTACTATTCAAATTTTGAAAAATTTTATTCAAATTACAGAAAATCAAAAAACGTAACTACAAATGTATTATTAATGATAAAATTAAAATTGATAAGCAAACGGTGAAATCAATTTAAATTAAATAAATCAAAAGTTGTCATAAATAATAACTACGTTTCAAAAAACCCATTGTTGAAAATTCGAGTACAAAATGACTTCGTCGAAAATGATAACGTAAAAGCTCATTTCAAATTCCGTGCGTTATCTTTGTTTGAACTATCATCGCTTTGACAAGTGACGTCAACAGCACATTACAACACAGGAACTTATATTGTTTACATAAAATAGTGACCAAGAAACAATATAAATTCACGCCTCCCTCCTATTCATTTTATATTTTTTCTATTATTATAAGTAAACTTGAGATGAAAATAAAAGCTTTTTAAATATGAATATATAATATGAAAGAATAATCGTCACACCCTAGATAAAAATAATACTTATGTTTAGGTAATATTCCTAGATTTTAAATATTACGCGTGTTCATGCAAATACTTCATTTTCAAATTAACAAAAAAATTTTAAGTATCATTTATAAACACACTAAATAAGAAACTAAATTATTTCTGATTATAACATTTTTTATGGAACAAAATTTCAATAAACTGTACCACATAACTTATAAAAGTACTTACATATTATACAGTTTTAATAGCATCAAAAATACACTGAGTGAATTTACTTTCATATAAAAAATACTTTCATAAAATACAAAACCGCTTAATATTTTTTGGAATATGGTAAAAATGCATCTATTGTTATCACTTAAAATATATCATACACACATATTTTTAAATGTATAGTTTATTAGTCGTAATCGAGTACCTTTAACATTTATTGTTTTAGTTCAGTATTCATTAATGATTTTATTTATTTATAATAAAAATAAATATACATAGAAAACATACAATATTACATTCCTACACCTATTTGTATACTAAATTTCTTTTATATAAGTCTTTGCAAATAGGTAGCAGTGATGCATACATTCCTCTTGGGACAGTCTTGTAACGTGACCGCTAAATAAATCTGTTACAGATGCTCTTAAAATAAATTGTTGTAATTTATGGAGAAATGCTCGTTGTGAAAATTAAAATTGTTGGACAATCATTAAAAATCCATTATTCCGGTGTTATTTTATGAGATTTACCAAATATACCAAGTCCTTGTTAACTAAATAAATGTTGAGTACATTGAAAACGCATACTTATCTATGTCTAATAAGATTTAAATTTAATTCGTATTTTAATAAATAATTAGGTAGATTTTTAATAAAAATTAAGACAGTATGGTTTATAATTGACATTTTAAATAACAAAAACTATAAGGTAAATTTTGTTAATGGGTAATTCCTCGGGTAATATACAATAACGTGTCATTTTTCTTTTTTTTTTTTTAATAAAATTAAATATTTTTATATTGTTGATATTGTAATTAACATCAACAATAAGAAACCATATTTTATTTATAAGTAAATTTATAGATTTGTCAAGCTGATTTAAGTGTAATTAATAATTATTTGATATTCAAAAGTATAATACTATAACCAAAGAATGTAATAATTAAAGATCTGATATAATTGCATTAAAAATATCTTAAAATTGCACTAAAAAGATGCCAAAATTGAAATAAAAATGTATCAAAATTGCAGTATAAATATGTTGAAATTGCAATGAAACATATTAAAATTACATAGTAAAATCATATCATATTCATAATCATTAATTACTTACTTAAATAATATAATATTTACAAAATGTATAATTTTTCTGAATTAAAATTTATAATTACATACATCTCAAAAGTGTGTTCTTGAAAATTGTAACGTCGTTATTTAAAATATGTTTTTATAATGAAAAAGTACGTTCAACGTCGAAACTTGTTATCGATGCATATTTAAAATAATTTAATACATTTGGTGTTATATTTAAATAAACATTTTGATTTCCTATCATAATCTCATAATCTGAGTAAGTTTTAATAGTTTTATATCCTTCATTTTTTTCTAAGACATATTTTAATATTTTTAGAATTATTTTTAGAATATTTATAGAAATATTTTCAATTTCACTAAATATGTTTAAACTATTAAGTAATTGACTATTTGATTCTTCAAAACTTGTGAGTTTTGTGGATAACTCAGATAAATATAATTTTAAAAATCCTAAACTACATTTAACTACATGTAAAAATTTACGTCGTAGTTTTATTTTTTTTTGTAAAATCACTTTGAAAATAATAATTTGTATATTTTATCACGTAAAGTATACAAATATTGAAATAATTGCAAAAATTGCAAAAAAATTGCATTATTAAATTCAATAGGAAGACTGTAATTAATCTGATTCGTATACAAATTTGATCAAATTTGTTTTACCGGGTATCAATAAAAGTTGCAATATCAATTAAAATCTAAGTCATTTTTAAGCATTTAAAGTTGTCTAATTTAAAATTTATATGTAGCATATAATTTTATTTATATAACAGAAAATATAATAGTAAATAAATTGATCTTCACTATTAGCAATTTTTTGATGCGAGATTTGTTTTAATAAAAATAATTCACATAAGTTTTTTTTTAAAATATTCTCTAACAAAATTTATAATTGTATAGATTAAATATAAAAATGTTGATACAAAAAATTGAAAACACCAACAGCTTAACTTGATAAACTGAATTTTAATTGATTAATACAATAACCAATTAGTGTGTATCTAGCTCATAATTTATAAAATGCATTCATTATCAAATGTTAATGAATGTCAAAAATTCTTATTTTATTTTCTACTTCTTTAGTTTTTTAGTTCCTACTAAATTCTATAACTAATTTATACATTTTGTACGTGTACCTAGTTAACTAGTTAACTTATATGCTACACATCCTACGTATATAGGAATGTATACATCATCAATTTTTATATTGAATACATTTCCAACTAATACCTACAAAACGTTTAATTTCTATTTGCCTATAGTTGGATATATTTTATTGATAACATGTACTCGTATTAAGTCATCAATCATTATCAATACAATGAGATAGTTTTTCTATATATAAACTTATAGGTAAGTACTCTATAAGTAAACTTTTGTGCAAGACCAACAAAATATCCAACCACATTTATTTGAATTATACATTATACATTTTTTATTAGAACGAATAATAGATAATAAACAAAAAAATAAGATCGTCGATAAGAATAAAATGAAAAAACTGAATTCTTAAATGTCCTCACAGAGCCCTTAGACCAATACAATCTTGTCTAAGCAGACCTGAACGAATTAATCAACGTCATATGTGATCATATTGATAATATAACTGTTTATAATGACAGAACTGGCCAGACACAACTAGAGAGGAATAGTTATAGACATCCATCACCAAGTTTTGATTATCATTACATCAATACCAATAATTACATTACATTAATATGATAGTGTTAGCGCGCGAAAGTTATAATTAAGCACTGCACCCCGAGTTCGACATCCCAACCCCACCTCCGATCGCGCGATGATTCGCATTATAAGTCCGCGTGCCGACCACTTGCCTCGCTTCTGACCAGTCGGTGCGTAGCCAACCGGACCTCGGCGAAGTTTCCTTTGCCGATGCGCCGGTCAATAGTGTAGAACCCGATAGTGTCCGGTTTGTTGTCCATCGTGTCGGCCGCGGCGTCCTCGCGTCGTGCGTGATTACGCCACCCGATTGCGGTGGACGGCAACGGAACCGGTGATCGCGGTAGCTGCGGCCGAGGTGGCGATCCACAGCTCGATCGCCGAACTACGGCTGCGGTGGTAACCCGAAGCGATCCGCATAATAATCCGATTAGTAAAGAAAATAAACCGGAAAATATCTCGTCGACTGCATCTGCGTGTACGTGACGAACGTGTACTGTTGTTGTGATTGTTATTGTACTAGCCGATATATCTTAATAATAATACGGAACTGCGACAGGGGGCAGCGGTGGAGGCCTCAACGGCGTTGGCGATAGCGACGGTGTCGCGACCGTACTCTCGTGCGGATCACCGGCAGTGCTCTGTGATGGCTGGCCGACGCGCGCGCGCGCGCCGTCGCCACCGCCGGTACCGCTTTCGCGTGCCCGTCACCGTCCTCGCGCCATCGCCACCGTACGTTCGTGACGTCATAGCGGAGCGGCCGGGCGCTGTGCGGCGGAAAGTGCAACTACACACCGCGCGAGTAACGCGTAGTACCTACGACTGTTGGTGATCGGTGTGGAGTACGGACGGCAGAGGAAGTCAAGATAAACGGTGTTTTCTCGATACCCGCAAATTGAATCGGTCACCGTGGTCACCGCAGTACTCGGATATAAATACATATACGTATACGTGCATTTACGCGCGATAACGCCAATGAAAACCAGCTGTCCGGACATCGCGTATTATGCGATCATTATGGGAGTTACGATGCGCTTCACAGTTTTATCGTCAGAAGGCGATTTCCTCCCCCCCATCCTTCTCTCGACCACTCCCTTCCGACCACCACTCAAATTTCTACGTCGCCGACGCCGTTCAAAAACACTAAACACTCGGCAGTCAGCAACGGTTGAAATACATGACCTTTGAAAAATTCGAAACGACCGGTATAACGTGGGTTAGATTCACTGACCAGCTATGTTTATATAGTATCGCGTTGGTCGATTGAAATCAAAGTCTATATTTTTATGTAAATCGTATATTCCATGTATATGCGTGCCTATATCATAATATTCAAATCACTCTAGATTTTTAGCACTTATTTTTTTCAAATCGAAATCACATCAACAGATAATTTATCTTCTATTACTAATATATCTACAAATTAACACGACATATAAATGCATACTACGAGTATAAACCTATCACTCGTCAGGTAAAATTGGATTTTTATATAAAGGTAGACCATTTAATTATATTTACTGTTTATATTATTAATTATTAATAATTATTCTATTCTATGGTACAACTGATTCATTCTGAAGGAAATTTTCACCGTTTGATTTCTGTTCTTAGGTTCTGAATGCTTTTATTTTTCATTTTAGATCAAACTATCTTAGTATAACCACACCAATAATTTCATAGTTTTTTTCTAAAATCGAAAATTGAACTTCAAAATTATTAAGAACTCATAAAAGTATACAAATCTACAAAAAATGTTCATAATATTAAATATTAAATTGTATCAATTTATACTCCAAAGACAAAATAAGCTTTTCATTCTTGCAACTTAACATTCATGAAAGGTTAACCATTTTACAATATAGTATCTACTTCATTTCAAAATATTTGACAGTTTATTTTTTTAAATTATAAAGTTTATAGTTCAAAATTGAATATTTTCACGAATAATGACATTATATTCCTTAACCTCAATTTTATTAAAATATTTTCAACTAATGAGGTAATCTTGGAATTATCCAGAAATAGGTCTTATATGAAAAAAAAAGATAACAATTCTTTAGCAATGATATAAATAAAAATATAAGTAACTAAACTGTTAGCTTAATAATAGATAATCTCTTATCAAAATAATAATCGATATATTTGTAACTAGCCTAGCGTATATTTTTTTACTCTTGTACTACCAGATGATAAACACATAACGCATTTATAAAAATCATTTTAACAAATAAATACGTTTATCTTCATGAAATATAACATGAATATGAACATTATTTTATTTTTATAAAAAACAGCCTAAGGCTTGAAAAATAACGTGTTCGTTTATAAAATGCATAATCATGAACAGATTAAAAATGTCAAAATAACCGTTCTAATCAGGCACGGCTTCAAGGGGGGGAGGAAACTGAGGCAATGCACCCAGACTTTTCAAAAATTAAAATTTTTTAATATATTTTTGTCCTTTGAACTTTAAAATCCCGATTATTTAATTAGATACCTACCTAACAATTTTATTTTGTTAAAACACCATATGACAGTAATATGAGGTGTGTATCATATAAAAACGTAATCGGACTCAGTGGCTCACTACTAATTTTGGGAAACAACTATTATTAAAGCTGGAGTTTGTAATATAAAATATTTTATTAAATAAAACCAAGTATAATATATAAATACAAGAAATTATTTATTGGCAAACTTGCATTCCAGGTTAGTATATTCTCTAAGTCTCCTATACAATTTAGCGATAGCTAAAAAAATTCCTCCCCCCCTGGTAAGTGTCTGAAGCCGCGCCTGGTTCTAATATACACTTTCTTTAATTTCACAATAAATAGATATATTGACATATTATGGTAAGTACTCGTAAATCGTACATAATATGTTAAATTATATCAATTCAATTAATTTACAAGCATGTAATAATAAAATATATTCTTATTATTTTCGTAGTCTTGTTTGTATTAGATATATGATGATAAAACCTCAAAATTAATTAGATTTAGTGCCCACACAAATAATAATATACATTTATCAACATATGTATACGTCATTCATGCGTTGTATAAAACACATCAAGCAGTGGCGTAGCTACACAAAAAAGGGCTCCGGTGCAGTAAGTAAACTAGACCCCCTAACTAATATTATCTATACATAAAAAGTCAAGGTGTACACATCATATTATAACTATATTATTGTTTTTTTAATAAATAATTATCAAGTTAGTAGATAGTGCTATCAATGGGTGGCTTCTTTCAATAAAACCTCATGATATGTTAACCTTTATCATATTTTCTTATTGTGTCTAGTATGGATACAGATTGTTAATTACTTTTGAATATTAAAAAAAAAAAAAATTGTTTTTTTTTTTTTTAATATCAATACTTATTTTTTACGAAACGACAAATAAAATTAATTAACAGTCGTACAAGATAAAAAGAAAATTCAGTTTATTAGGTATTTTAAAAAACAAAAGGATATTGCGTGAATTATTATTCTACTTCAATACTGATTGTTTCTGGAACCACCACATATGATTTGAAAAGTTATTATTAAACACCATGACACATTGTCAATTATTTAAGGGAAGAAATGTTCAAGGTGCCCCGGGGCACTGCCCCCCTTGCCCTATGATAGCTACGCCACTGGCATCAAATGAAAAAATAATTATCTCTCAAAAGCTAATTAATACATGTAACATAAAAATTAATGATAGTCATAGAACCATAAAACCATTAAATTGTATATCACAAAAATTATTTTCTACGAAATGAAAGTTTTCTTTTCATATTAATATGATAATATATTAATATATTCTTCATAATGATGTCGCATCATCCACTTTCAGCAACCCATCTATTTGCTTTCGTGAACCTACATGATCATCATCCAGTTACTTCTAGAGCTCTCGAATTTGAACATGAATTAAGATTCACGTGATCACTTACTATAACTTACTTCCTGACTAATATTTATTAGTATAATGGTCTCCGTTGGACATTAATGTTCCTTTTTTATTTTTTTTTAACCCCCGATAATAGTTTTTACTGTTTCGGTGCATTTTTCCACTCCTAGTGTTTATACAATTATATTAATTTTATTTAACTTTGCTTGGTATTTATATATTTTGGTATTGAAACATATTTTACAGTAAACAATTAAATTAGTTAATATCACACCAGTATTTAATTTCCTCGATAAGTTTTCAATCTCATTTAAAATTACATGGCCTAACATGAATGATTAAATTACATAGGTAATTTGGTCTAAACGCTTATGAAATAGATAAAACCACTTTCAAATAATAAATTTAAATATTTATTATTATTTACCTGTTCATCGATCACTCGTACAGTGCTGGATACTTATAACTAGTTATTTTGCAATCTTCATTATTCATTTCTTGAAATCCAATATTATCAAGGGCGCTCATATGGTGGCAACGGAGGAATATGCCCCCCCTCCTTGGAAAATGTCAAAAATCTTGGAAAATTGTTTACTATGATTAAAAAATATTTATTTAAATATAATTTAAAAATTTAATTTAATATATGAAAATCTATAATTTGTTTATAAAAAATCTATTTATTTAGTTTGGAAAATCAGGTTATCAGCTATAAATAACGATACGCTTTTTCGTTTCTATTCTATGGATAATTATCAATTCTTAAAATATTGTGTATTTCCAGAAATACGGTATGTATATGTGTGTGTGTACACAACCATAATATTTATATAATATTTGTAAATTAATATTTTAATAAATATAACTAATGTTTTAAATGTCCAATTTATATTATTAATTAAATAAAAATTTCAATAAATTACTTTTATGGTAAATTGGTTAAATAATTATTATTTTATAGTCTTCCAGTTTGATACCTATATGTGATGTAATAGTATAATGTAAAATTGTAAATCCCTTCCTATATCGTAGGTCATTCCTATTTATGAATAAATTGATAAATTAAAATGTTGTTGTCTCCTTGAGAATTTTTCTATGGGCACCCTTGAATATTATTAACGAAGTTTTCAATAGACTGAAATTCTAAATTGTACATTCTTTTTTTTCGATAAATTAAATTTATTTTTTAAATTATTATTTTGTTCTTTGTAAATTCTGCTTCTTCTCTCCCATATTTCATTGATTTAATAAATTCTTATAGTTTGATATTAAAAATACTCATACAATTTTTCGAATCAATTTGGTTCCTAAAAGATTCGTTTGATAAAAAAATAGCCTCTTTACCTGTTGCAGGGGCGTATTTAGACTTACTTCTAGGGGGGGGAGGGTTACTCAATTTTTTTCTTCGATTCAGGCTCAAAATGTACAAGTTAAATTTTTGGTAATACTTAAATCAGGTGAATCCTTAGTAATATGTGGTTTTTTTTTAATCTAATGCCGGATCCACATAGAATCGACTTTTGTGTAGTTATTTTTTAACATCTGTCTGTGTTTTGAAAGTTACGCTTGTGTTTTATTTGATTTTTCACTAAGTATGGACCCGACAAAAAGCCCAATTCAGTATTCACAGCAATGTGTAATTTGATTTCGTTATAAAATGATCCACATAAAAAAAATTTGAAATGTGTATCCCACATATAACAAATTTTTAAAAATATGGATTCAGGGGGGCTATTACCCCTTCACATTTGAAAATAAACAAAAAATATTAGTCACACAATACAATTCATTTGGGTAAGATTTAAAAAATTATTTAATTATAAACACTATAGGAATTTATAATTGAAATTTTTATTTCTTTTTGTTTTGTTTAAAAGCAAGATTAAAAAAGAAACATTTGAATAATAAATATTAATAAATAAATTTGCAATTTTTGTTTTTTTAAATGAAAAATTAAATATTTTTAATAGCATATTTTAGCATTTTTGCATATTTTTAGAGCATAAATACATGCATATTTTAAGAATTTTTAGAGCATTAGATCTCTAGCCCTACTAATAACTAAAGCTCCGTGATACGTAAGTAACCTTATCATACATAACGACCAGTGGCGTATACAAAAAATATTTTTGGGAGGGGCTACTATGGACAGAGTTAAATTACTACTGTTATCTAAGAATTACTAACAAGACACAGTAGGTACTTATCTACATTTAATTTACAGAATTTCCCAAAACGATTTGACGTTGGACGCAAATTCTAAATAAGCATAAAGCGCCTTTAAAATATAACAAACGTTTAAAATAATTTTTAAGTTTGTTTTCGGGGGGGGGGGGGGGCTGTAGCCCACTTGTCCACTCTATATACGCCACTGATAACTGATAACCTTAATATCTGCACTATACCAAGTCTGGTTAGGGTGATGAATGATGCAGTAGGTACTGTATGACAAAGGTATAATACATATTTGTCAAGTCAATTAATGAATTGAATAATTATCTAAAAATGTTAAAGGTATCTTTTTAAAATATTCATAGTTTAGTGACAATCCTAAGGTATACCATTTCTGTGCAAAATCTTTCAGTTGAGAACATAGTTCTAATGAAGTCATAGATGGATCAAATTTTATATACTTATGCCCTTAAATATTAAACTTCTTCAAATCTGGAAGTGTGTAGGTAAACATGCTGAATCAAATATAAATTTTAAAGAAATACTAAAATGTTTTTCCAAACTAAAAATAGCCGTATCGAATACTACGTTATTAACGTAACTTGAAATTTATTTTTTTTATTTAAATTTTTTTCAGTTCTTGATTAGTTTTTAAGACCATGCAATGTGATTGAATGACATCCATTCCATTAGTTTAGAGGTACTTTGAAAGTGGATTTGTAAATTCAAATAACTTTAGATAAATTTTTTCAGTAAGAACTGTTTCAGATGTAATTAATTTGTCGAGCAATGATGCTGTAAATCGCGTCAATGAATTAAAATATAAGACAGAAGAAATTTCTTCTAAAGCCATTATAAAACCAAAATATACCCAAATATATTAGTTAATGCGATCATACAAGGCCCACATAAGATTGAAATATAAGAATTTTTAGTTGATCTACGTGTTTTAAAACTTTTTTTTTTATTAAAATAGATATAAATATGTATTTACAATCTGTAATATACTAAAACAATAAGTAAATTTGATATATTTTTTTTTTATGTACTAGGTTTGGAGGCTTGAGTGAAGGGGCATCCATCGACACTACTTTAAGCGAGTAATGTTTTAAAACTAAAGATTTCAAATTATATTACTGATGGGTTATTCCCTCATCATGCTATTTAATTTCTTATCACATCAATTTTGCTTATTGAACATAATTAATACAGATTTATAAAATTTTAATACAATTAATAAGTAAATACAAGTAACCTTTAAAATCATATATTTTTATTAATACAACATACACGAAATAATTCTATTTTTGAAATTAAAATAACTGTTATGACCCATCACTCAACACTGTAATTATATTTATAATGAAGTAGTAATGGTAGAAAATTACCAATCCCAATCTAGTGATTCGTTTAATTACACACTAATAGCGCCACTTGCCAAACTTAAAAAAAAAATAGCAAATTTGCAAATTACTAGAAAAATTATAAAATTTAATTATTTTGTGGAGGCCTCTTATTAATTGAATCTTAAGGTGGCCTCGGGGTCTGGGCCCTTCCCTAAGTCCAGCCCTGATCGAAAAACCGACAACTATTTTTATTTTATTATTTAAAATATGTCTGTACACACAATTCATCAGATGAGTTGTAATTTAGCCGGCAATATTATATAATTTTATATTGATTATTTTTCATTTAATTTTGATGACAACAATGACCATTAGCCACTTTAAGCACTGGCACACCTGGAAATTTCCCAGCCTCCCGATGGGCCAGTCCGTCCTTGCTCAAGTATACTGATGACTGGAAATGGCGGAAACTCCAACCAACAGGCATAAATCCCGAAGATAAACCTCGTAGTTAGTGGCGAATCATAAAAAAAAAATAAATAAATAAAAAAAAATACTATCATATGAATGCGACGGCTCAGCAACGAATGGGAGTCACTCGACGACAGCACCGCCGATCTCAAGAATATTCTAGACGGCCAAGGTTATATATTCTCGATCCGATAAGATATTGGACCGGTTCCGGGCACTCGGAGATAAATAGTTGTGCGTCTCGAACAGTATTTATTAATTTTATTCTCTAATAAAAGGTAAAATGGATTATTATAGAGCCCCTTTCTCACTAAATTTTTTCAACTTACGTTCGTATGAATTATACATTAAAATTTTGCCTGAATCTATTGATTAGTGAAAACTGTACTAATATCCATTGGGTTCTTTTTGAGCTATGCGCGTACATACAAAAAAGGGGGTACTATTTTATATACTATACAGATTTTAATTACCTACCAAATATTTTATTAAAAGTCAAAAGAAAAATTATGAAATAATTCTATTATCTTTTTAATATAATTATACATGCAATATTAATTTTATAATAAAAATGAAAAAATGTATGAAAATATTAATCTTGTAAACATAACTAAAATTTAAGTTTAATTAATTAAAATTATTATGTACAATACTGGGTAAATTACGTGAGTACATTATTTTATTTTTATAAAAATACTTTCTTGATTTCTGTTTAGCAAATTGGTCAATACATTCATACCATGAAATTGATGTGAGCAAAACATTTTCAATATTAAGAACAAATTAACTTCATTTTTGGCTTTAAATAGAACTTTCTTTAAAAGATTAGCGCCTTTAATTTAAAGTCTTGTGCTCGGGGAGCAGATGCTCTCCTTTAATCCAGCTCTGTATACTTTGTATACCATTCACGCAACCATCTAACTAATAGAACCACATATGTAAGTGCAATGGCATAAAATATATATTAAATATACAATATATGATCTATGGACAAAGTGACTTAAATTGAGCATTGCTTCTATCGGGACCACAAAATCTTCAAAGCTTGCGAAGGCTGGGACACTAGAACTACTTATGCCACTGTTTAGAAATCACATTTATAATTTCCCATGACCAATCAATGTATTTAAATGTGATTTTCTACAATTATCAGTAAGAAAATTCTAATGAAAGACAAACATTAATATTCATTTCTTTTTCGAAACTTCAAATTTCAAATATTTTATGCAATTTAATTTTTACATTTTCATAACAACCATTGTTTAACATAGTTTAAAAAAAAAAATAATAATTTAATTTGAGATAAAATCAACAGAATTAAGACAAATTAAGTTTTTGATTCTGTGGTGTGATTCAATATACAAGTTTTTTCAAATTAAAATTTACAAAGTAATTATTATGAATTTCACTTATAATTTGTCTTTTGTTCGCACTCTTAGTTTATCCTCAAGTTATGTTTGTTAAAAACATATTTTAAATTTTAAAAAAGGAACTAACTGAATTATATCAATTTAAATAATTTAATATTATATTAGATTTTTATGCTTCTCGTGTTAGCTTAACTAATTTAGTACCTGAGAAAAATTTTCAATTCAACAATTTTATTTAATTATAAAAAGTTTCACAGAGCAAGTTCAAAGACATTTGAAATCTTTTATATTCTGTTTAGTAAAAATAATAAAAAAAATATTTTTTGAATTAAATTTAACCTTAGAAAATCAAGTAAATATAATAAAAACAAATTAGGTTAATTAAATTACTTGAAATTATCTGTTATCAATCAGTATATTACAAAGTTACACATAATTATAACGGAAACAAAATCCTAACACATGATGTATAAAAATTATTTCATAAGGTACTCAATAATAGTACACAATGAAGATAATTTAAAATAAAAAAATATATCCCAAAACTGAACATAACAAATACATTTTTTTGAGTTTTGAAACAAATAGTATGTAAGTACATTAAAAAAATGTTAATATTGACGTGTTAACCTCCAACAACTTGAATAATTCACAAATTTGACTTTGTGACCAGTTTTTTAGTTGCCCCCATAATATAATTATTGTTTTTATATAAGCGAAACAAACTTGAACGTACAAACTTAACAAAAGAAAAAAAAATGTAATGATCTTTTTAAATTAACAATCATATACACAATATTTGCCAAGAAAGAAATAATTGCAGTGACAAAGTCACTTATTTAAATTAATATATATATTTTTTTTTTTTTGTAAAGAAGAAGAAAAAGTAATTTTCAACACTGTTCCATTATATACAATTTACATACATAAATAATTACTATGATATATAAAAACTTCTTGAAGAATATTAACGAATTCAGTAGAATTTTTTTCTATGGAATGAAAAAAATTCTTTATTTATTACAAAATATGATTAGTTGTTGAACACAAATTATGTTTGGCAGAAATTTCAAATGTCCCAGGAAACACTACTGTTATCTCGTTTGTACTCCAAAATGTTGGATCTACCATTGATTTTCTCTTTTTCAACGTCTTGCCAAGCTAAACATAAAAAACAACTATTAATAAGTCAAATTTCTAATCAAATTTTCTAAACTAGAAAATATTTGTTCTATGTATAATTTGGGGGGGGGGGGGGGAATCCTTGTTTATTTGTAAATATTGAAATCAAAAAAATTTTAATGAAACATGGGAAAATCTTAAAAAATTGTCTGAAATAATATTTGTTGTTTCACTTCTCAGATAATTTACAAGTAAATGGAACAATAAAATAACATGGGAACATAAATTAAATGTAGAAAAACAAATACATTTTTACTTTGCATAGAATTTGTAATAACTATATTTTAATATTTCCCATTAAATTAATAGTATGAATTAAATCATATAATAATTAATAATAATATGAATAAGAATATAATATATTTTTGTCAGTAATAATAGAAACTATATATAATTTATCAGGACCAGAATGTTTGACTACTGATGAGATTTTAAGTTATTAGGATTTTTTGATAATAAAAGAGTGATTGCCATTATGAGTAAACTTTAGAAAATGAAAAGAAACTTTTTATGAATACAAAATTAACAACTTACAAACTATAATTTAATTGATGATTAAAATACAAGTTTTACAAACATATTCACTGCGAATTATGCCAATTGGTGTCAATGTTTTTTAATGCTGAAAACACTAATAGGCATTAATACTCAATAAGAATTGTTGTGAAGATGTTATCATTAATATCGATAAAAAATATAAAAATTAAACTTATATCATAGTGAAATTTAAAAATAAAATATATATATATATATATATATATATATATGTAAAAACAGAATCCAAAAATCCCAAATGTTTAATACATCTTTAAAACATTAGTACATAGTAAATATGTTAAGCATTCAATTGTACAAATTATATTACCTTGTTTGATGAACAATATTACTTCTCTGTAGTTGTACTCTATAGGCATAGGAATTGGTACGGGAGGTGAATAATCATCACCATTATCACACAATAAATTTTGGTCGATTTCAAATCCGAATGATAAGCTTGTATCTACCTCATATTTATTATACATAATTGGGCTCTGTTTTTTCTTTGACGGTACACGCACAGTTAGCGAGGCGCTCTGTGAGGGGATCGGTGCAGGAACTTTGTTTAAAACGACAGTCTTTTTAGCGGTTTCAAGATCCGCTCTCTGGGATTCATGTACAATATATGTTACATGCACATCCCCATTGACACATTCATTAGCATCATTTACATTACTAGCAATGTCGACATTTCGTAGTGGTAATGCAATGGTAACTGTTGGTATTGACTCTTCAGAAGTGGTAACTACACAGACAGGTTTAATCAAATCAGTTTTAGGAGCTTCTTTATATGATGGCTGTTTAGAAGGTGTAGATGAGGCGGGTAGAGAGTGTACAGAGTCGAGATCAGAGTTATCTTCAGATTTATCAGAATGAGGCATCGAAGATGTAGATTTCCTTCTCTTTTTATTTTTTGAAGTTTTAGGTTGTGTGTACTGTGACAATAAATAGGAGTCATGAGGAGGAAAGTTACTAGTGGTCGAATTTAACTTATTTTGTGATTTTTGTTTTTTTCTTCTCTGCTTATTGGTAACCAATAAAAAATCTGCTGAATCAGTATCTTGTGATTCTGATGATAATACATCAAGTCTTTGTTCTGTTGAGGCAAACTTCTTGGAAGATTTATTTTGTTTAGTTACTTTTTTTTTTTGTTTTTTATTACTTTTAATTGATTTAGACTCGTCATCTGAACTATCCATATGTTGAAAGACTGTAATAGATACTTCTTCTACACTATTATATTTAGTCATTTTCATTTTTTGGTTTTTTGATCTTTCACAGTCATCATCAGAACCTTTGCCATTTCGACTTTTAATTTTATTTTTGGTCTTACTACCTTTATTTTTTTTACTATCACTACTTTTATCACCAATGAACTTTAAAATTTCATCAATGTTTTTGTCCCCTCGATAACCTTGAATATCTTCAGAACGAACAACTTCATCTTTCTAAAAATAATAATAAAAAACTTATAAGATTAATAGGTAATAATACAAATAAATATGTTACAAACCTTTCTTAATTCTTTTTTTTGTTTGTTTCTTTTATGTCCAGTAGCATTACTAGTATCTTCAAAATTGTTTTTCTATAGGAAATAAAAAATATTTAGAATTATTTTCTTTGAAAGTTCAATCCTAAACTATTTCAATTTTTAATATTTTTAAATAAGGTAACAGTAGATATAAAAAACAAGAAAATCAAAATATAATTTAAAGTAATAATTTAATACTAAATACTTAAGTAATTATAGTTTCCAAATTTCAAGAGTTAGTAAAAATTGATTTCTTAAATTTCTAATATAAAAAATGATAACAAAAGTTATAAATAAAAATATTAGAAGTATATAACTTACTCTATTATTACTATATGCAGTCTGTAATCCTAGGTTATCTGAAACATTGCAAATTAAAAGTTTAATATTTAAATGAAACCCTTAGAATAAAATGAATAAATTAAATAAAATTTGTGAAAATATATTCAATGATTATCTGAATACAAAACAATTTTTAATGGTTCAACTGCCTAACAACATTTTAATTCATATTCAAAAATATGATTTATCTGAATTTCTAAAAAATTTAAAGCTTTAATGATACAAATATTATATTAGAACAATATTTAAAATGAATTGATCAAATTTAATTTATATTGCATAGTTTAAAATAAAATTAATTTTAAGAAAATAATTTAAAGGCCCTAAATTAGTTAAAATTATTTATTAAAATGTAAAACTGATGTTAACTTTATTCTTAAACTATTTATATTTGTCTAAGTAAAATAAAATAATTAGTGTTTATTATTTATATAAAACAAATAAAAATGCTCAGATAAATTAAAACAACACTTTAACTACACAAATAATAATTAATATAAATATATTATTAATAATAGTAATAAAGTTTTAATTTATAAATGAAATTACTAACTTTATTAACATTAATTATTTGTATGCATCTTTGTACTTAAAAAAAATATCTACTCAACTAATACAATTATTTATTAAAAACATATCCATGATTATAATAAATTGAAACTCTATAATTGTAATTCTTACCATATACCATAGCATAAGACCATTTATTAATAAAAGTGAACAATCCTTTGCAATATAAAATAAACCAACAAAAACCACTAAAAGCAATTAAAATTAAAGCAAAAATAAAATTATTTTAATATTTGAAAATGTGATACGTAAAACCTATAAACAATATGTGCATGGTAGTTTTGACATCTGGTTAGCTAAAATGAATATGTTTTCGTAATTTAAATAACATATTTTAATTGACTATTATTATTCACCACAACATTGGATTTTAATAATTTTATCTAATTATAATAATTACAAACCAAATGATAGCTTTTTATAATAATTGCCTAACTGATTAAATAAAATAGTTAAAATAATACACAATTTTTGAAAAATCAGCAGACCAATACATTTTTATTCTTTAATGCAGTGGTGCCCAACCCGCGAAAGTATTCTGTGGCCCATTACGAATTTTCTAAAATAAATTTTTTTTTAAAAAATGTACGAAAACATTTATAAATTATTTCCATATATTATTTTTATTTAAATTTATGAATTTGTTTAAATAATTATTCTGATTACAATAGTTTACAATAGTTTTGTCATAATTTTGAGTTAAAATTATTTATGATTTAAAATTAAAATGTTTATTTAGTTATAATAAAACAAAAATAGCAGCACTGCAATAAATTAAGTTTAAGAACCATCAATGTATCAATTTTTTTTTTTTTATAAATTTCAAGTACTATACTAATTATTAACTACTAAGGCCTATACAAATTTAAATTTCTGATAACCTAAATATTGAAGCATTAAGTGTAATATTAAAAAAAATAATATTATTCAATTTAAAAAAGCACATTGCACAGTTATGATCCATTATTATAAATATTTGTAATAATAAACAGTTCATAAAAATGTATAGATATTTATAATGTACATGGAATTATGTAAAAATTATGAAAGTTGTATACAAAAGTATAATAGTTGTTTAATTTATTATAATAAAAATATCTTGAAAAATAATTCTAATAATTTTGTTTCATTATGTCATTGAAAAATTTTATTTTTATTTAAATTTAAATTTATCTATTTATTTTATTCACTATTTCAAAATTCAAATTATCAGAAAACATGTATATTTTACATTTATTTGATATTTAATAGAGAATACCATAATAGGTAATAATTGAAATATTGTAACACAGTTATTAATAATAAAAATAAAATAATACTTATTTTAATTTAAAGAAATAAGTAAAAAAAATGTTAGTTTATATTTAGTCATAATTTAATTTTTTAATTTTAAATTTTTTTTTTTTAACACCTAATAAATATTAGTAACTCATTGCAACAATTTTAACAGAATAATAAATTAATTTAAGCAATATTAGTATACTTAGAAAGAATTATAGTGAATAACAAGTTACCATTTGGTGTTAAAAAATGGAAATTCAGTGGTGGAGTATATCCGTTATACGGATTTTGATAGCAATTAATTTGGCTGCCAAATAGGTGGAACAATTGATGGTCTATCATTTGTGCATCTTTATTAAAATCCGTTACCACTGTGGCTGGTTGATGTAACAAGTTTTTCACGCCTTGATCGCCCTCACCTGAAGTCCGTGGCAGTACTTCCAAATAGAATATAAAAAGCATGCCAATTAAAATGAAAAACAAAACAAGAAATATTCTGCATTAAGAGAAGTTAGATAAATAATTATAGAAAAACACCAAACACTCCAATAAATTATTAAACAATTAATTTCTTAAAAATGGAATCAATTGTTAGCAATATTTCTTGAAATAAAAATTCATTTTATTAGATAAATAATTAGTTCTACACTAATTTAAATATAATTAATTGTGCCTCTGCCTTAGTTAGATTTAAAATATTAATAAAATATTGAAAATATTTATATACTTCTAAAACTGTTAAGGTTAGGTTGAAATGTTATGTTTCTTAAATATTTTCCATGTATTTCAATAATTTCTCAGATCAAATATATTTAAAATAAATAATGAAATATTTAACAATAATATTAAAATTACAAATATTCAAATATTAAATCAAATATCAATAGAATATAAAAAATAGTTATTTTTATTTCTATTTTGTCAATATATTAAATTATACAATAAAACACAAGAACTTAAAAATAATGTTTGCCTTCAATATAAGATTTATTATATAAAAAAATAAAATACATGTAATTTATACACATAAGCTGAGGTTTATTATGGATAAATTAAGCTTGTAATTATTTATTTTTTTATATTATTATATTGCAAAAAGCAAAAAACTAATTTAATTTACCACTTACCCAATCAGATGAAAATAAATTTAAATAATTTACTTTAAACACATAATTCATGCAAGTTTAAATGAATCAAATTTAAACTCAAAAAAACTTATATTAAGCACAATAAATAGTATAGTAAAAAAATTTGTTTATGTGTCAAAATAGTACATCTATATATATATATATATATATATATATATAAAAATCTATAATATGTAAATATAATAGTTAATAGATTCTTAATATGAAGTAATATATAGTCAAGTAAGATTCTTAATATTAAAACAAAATATTACAAAAGAAATTACAAGTGTATAATATTCATTTTAGTCACAAATCACAAAAGAAAAGCACAATTAATTACTTATTGAATAAAACAGTGTATTTAATATTATTGCCGTGAAAAATCTAAAAAAGATTTAAAAAGCTAATAAAGCATAAATGCAGGAATTATACTTCCAATTTGAATTTTAAAGCAAAATCAAATTGATATTTTTGTACTAAAACAATTAAAAATATATTACCTTTAGTCATTACATCTTTAGAATCTTTAGTGTATGGTGAAGCATCTATCTCCATATAAGCATCATGATCTTCATAATTTTGACTTGATTGCTATAAATAAAAATATTACTAATAATAAAAAAATTTGATTATAATTGTATACTCAAAAAAAAATTGTATAGACAAATGATAAATTATTCAGTAAAACATTTGTAAATATATATGAGGAACATACAATAGTGGACCCTTCTTAATTGTGGTAAATTTTGATGGTTCCGTGAGATTCCGCTATTTAGACGTTTTACTGTATCATTTATTCTAGTATTATTCAATATCTAAATTCAGTTGATCATTAATAATTTGGTAATTCATTAAAATAAAATTGTTGATAAGATTTATAACTTACTGTATTCGATTGATTTTATTAACTTATTTATTTTTCAATCAACAGGCGGTGCCCATTGAATACAATAAAATTAATATAACATAATTCATAATAGATAGTAATATAAATAATGATCATAAACAAAATACAAAAAAATTAATTAAATAAAAATAGTAAATAAAAAAGGAGGTATCGTTAGAGGGTGAGCAACATTAAATGTCTTATTGGTTGGTTTTTTGTATTATTATTTTTGAATTAGGAAATATGAAAAGACATAGGTGAATAAATATAACATTAAGGAACTTTTGAGTCAATAAGAGATAGGAAAACAGGAATGTCTATAGCGTTTGATAATAGACCACTTAGAAGTCATATCTAACATCTATGGTCAAAGTTTGTAATTTAAATATTTATTCTGGCTAGATATTTTAGATATGTAACTTTATTAAAAACCCCAGACTAGGATGTTTATACCAAACTTTAATATTTACTTTTTCAAAACTTATTAGCATATCTTAAACACTTGTCTCCAATAATAAAAAGTATGAACCACATTCATAAGCGTTGTTGCATTATATTACATTAACACTAAATTATTAGATTTAATAAAATTTTATTAATTTGTAAAAATTCTACTTATATAGTTTTGTTTAGAAAATATAATAAAAAAAAAAAAAATAAAATACAAAACAATGGAAAAATCAACATATTGACATTAAGTATTTACTTGTCTTTTTAGTTTTAAATATTTATTAATTAGTTATAGTAAATTATTTAGAATGTAAAAAATATTTCACAACATAAATAATATATTTAGTGATCGACCCACTTTTTGTAAAGTACAAGTAAAAAAATTACTAAATACTAATGTTCATAATACAACATTTTATAAATAATCCATATGTATAAGATGTATATGATATATTGATAATTATAATTATAACAATTTATTAATCGATACATTCAATTTTTTTGAAATTTTAATAAAATAGTTTTATTTATATGAATTATCTAAATAATGTTATTTATTTCATAAGAATAATAAAGTTTAATATTTTTTTCAAATGAGAAAACTTTTTACTTGTAAGAAAAACTCATTTTATAACCAAATTAAATGTGAAAAAAAAAAATCAAAAAATTTACATACTATAAAATGAGAATAGTAAAATATGAAAAATTAAAAAAATGAATGTTCAGTTATGTTACCTAAAAATTATAAATTATTTTAATTATATTCATTTGTTAATACAAAAACTATACTTATCAAATTATTGAACAATTTTTCCTCAAATTATTTATATTATAAATTAATTCTTCCTAAAAAACGAAAAAAAAAAATCTTTTAATTATAAGATATAATAGAATTAGAGTATTTTAGTAAAAACTGACCAAATATTTTTGAATAATTCATATAAAATACTAGACAAAAATGAAATAAAATTTAAATTACAAAAATAAAATGTTCGACAGTACATTTTTTGAAATGGTCATAGAATGCTAAGACTTTAAAAACTGATATAAATTCTATTTTTTAACTTTCTAAAGACATATTTTATTTATGAAAATTATTTAATATGTACCCTTACAATTTTAAGAATAGTAATGTAACAAATAAATGATAAAACAATAAATAAATATCACAGGTAAAACAGACTAATTATATGTAGATACTGATTTACTTTAGACATTAGGATTTGACATAACTTGACAATAAACATAAGAAAAACAAGGAAAAAAATTTACTTAAATTTTACTTTTAAGGAGTAAATAAAATAAATTAGGTGGTATATTATTTCATACACCTAATACTATTACAATAGTCTAAATTAATTATTTCAGAAACAGTTTTTAGTACAATTTTTACCTTGGTTAATAAAGGTGTAGTCAACCGATCATCTATTTTAGTCTCATCTTTTACAGGAAAAATTTCCAAACTGGCATGACTAGTATAATTTGACATATCTTTTTCCTCAACTTGTTCATACCCAAAGTTTCCAAGATCAACTACTTTGTCTACATTTTTAGCCATTTTTGAAGACTCAGCAATTTTCTTGCGATTGTTTTGGATATTTTTTTTGTTTATCAGTACAGATAGAGCTTGTGCATGGTTAACATGACTTGGCAATGAACCTCCTTCTAGTTGACGTGCACTAACTTTAGTACTGACACCAGACAGACGTTTTTTGAAGTCAGGTGCCAAATCAAAAGCTTCAAGAGATGAATTTTCCTTGATGTGTTGGTCTTTAGATGATAACTTATCAAGATCAGTCTGGCTATCAACTAAACGTTGATTGAGCAACGGTCGCTTAACATCATCTTCGCCATTTTGAGTTACATCCTCCAGCAGATTCTGTAACACAGACTATGCAATATATAATCTAGTTTAAAAATTTGAATTAAAAAAAAAAAAACAACCAATAACCAATAACCTGAGAAAAATTATCAGGTATATAAAACTTAAGGATGGTAAGCAATATTCATCAATTTTTCTTATGTAATTTATCTAGCATAACATTAGGTATGTAATTTTAAAATAAACATTCAAAAAAAATTTTGATATTAGGTATTTATCGGAATATTGTAACTTATTGGTTAAAATTTTAAGTATTTAAGAAACATGTATACCTACTCTACAACTTTGAATTAAAATTAAATTTCAAATAAATTTACTTTTAAAATAAAAAAAATTTTTTTTTTACTTTCTATGTAAGTAGATCAATGTTTTTGTACTTAATACTATGCTAGTTGATACTATGAATTAAAGTTTTAAGATTATGATAGTTTTACACACAGTTTTATAAACATTAGTAAAGCAGAGATCATTAACTATTAATTTACATAAGATATCTAAAATTATACATACATTGTACAATTCACTTTTAGTCTGTTTAGCCGTGTCGTACGCGACCACTTCTTCTAATAAATTCTTAAAACTAGCAGTATTTAAATTTGATAAATCCAGTGATAGAGATTTTGACTTATTGTTCTGAAAAAAAAACATAATCAAGATAACTAATATATTAGAATATTTAGGTGTATAAATAAAGTACATTTACATATAAAAACACACACACATAATACCTAATATATTATAATATCTATAGAGATGGATGGATGAATAGATAATAACTACATGACCTTATAATTTTAAAAAGGGCATTAAAAAATAAACGTTTTTTATAGGTATATAAATATATAAATTACATTTGTACATGTATGCACGCACTATTAATATTAAAATAATGCATATTTAATAATAAACATTAATTTTAAAGGGCAATTATAAAAATCGAAGAAAAAAAATCAAAGGCAACACATAAACGTACCGAGGAACAGACATACCTCAATAGTGCGCACACGCACACACTAATACACCAAGTCCCGTAAACGAACGCACACACTAGCACAGTGCTTTTGATAGAGCAAAATTGATTACTCATTATTTATACCTAACGAGAGATTCACTCACATAATACTTTAACGTTGTATTATCATACATCGGTACCCCGAATAGGTTAGGTAGGAATTCTGGAAATGTAATGGGTATTTTTGAACATTCGATAAATTACAAAAACCGAATGACGGGTGAAAGAATAAAAAGGAAAAGTATATTCTCGCTTACACTATGGCACCGTGCACAAATTAAAGCACACACACACACGCACAGGCATTCACATACACAAGAGACGCGCGTACACACAAATAGATTTGATATGGACGATAATAAATATTATGTGTGCGTGCGAGTGTTTTCGGTGCCAGTGAGTATAATGGAGATTTCGAATACTAAAACTTCCTGAATGCGTACGGATGATAACGCACACAACTGAAGTTATAAATATATAATTTTTATTAAGTTTATCGCATTTTTTACACTTGGGGAGCGAGTTTTTGTGTGCGTGTGTGCACGCCTGTGTGACATATAGTATGTGTACTCACGTTCGAACAGTCAGACTCTTGGATTTTCTTGGAAACGTCACACACGGCCGGCGAGCTTTTATCGGGGGCTTTAGGTTCGAATTTCGGTTGCGGCAACGATGCCATATTATTACTACTTCGTATCTCGGGCGACCGGCGCGGCGGCGGCAGCGGAGGCGGCGGCTACGGCAGCGGTGTGACGGTTACGGCTTTTACGCTACGGCGTTGCGCATCATCATTTCTACATTGACGGCAAAGGACGGCGGCGACGACGGTGTCAGCGGACAACGAGATGTTACGATTACGGCGACGACGGCAGCAGCAGCGACGACGACGAACACGGTGTTGACGGTGGGTGACGGCGGCGGCGAACCGGTCATTCTAATGTCACACCGCGGCCGTCCGCGCGAGTAGAAAACTTTCCGAGCGCACAAGCCGTCGTCGTCGTCGTCGATTGGGCAGCTGCCTGTACCGTGCGCGTGGTGGCGAATAGTTGCCGGTAGTACCTACTCTCCAATAGAGCGAGGAGGGCAGTTCGCGTACGGACTACGGACGAACGGACGGACACTCACGCACTCGCACACTCGAACCGCTCTCGCACACGCGCACACACACGTACATACGTACACGAGCGCGCTGAGCGGCCAACACGGATGGGGGACGCGACGGTGATGGTATCGGCACCGATGATAGTAGCACGGAAAAGAAAAAATGGATAAGAGGTATCAGGTCGCGTGACTCGTGCAATGACAGGGTGTGCAGCAGACGCCAAACGACCAACGGACGTACGACGTCAGACCGTCGGAGAAGTGGAGCAACACGGCAGCTAGTGTAATTCCCGTATGCACTCACGTCGATTTTAGTATCTCGTCATCACGTATCCATAGCGGTCGTGTAATCGGTACCACGAGCCTATGACGCAAAACCGCTGCTCCAGACGACCGGTGACGCGCGCGAGTCCAGTCTGCCGGTAGTGAAAGCGAAATGGTTTTTTTTCTATCTTTTCCCTGCCGCATATCTATGTAGGCGAAATTAAATCGAATTTTTAACATCAACAAAACGACAGTCCGCACACCAATCCAATTGTCAGGTGTTGGTAATGCGCCGTTCGTAAGCGTAACGTGTTCCAGTGTATGTCATACGCGTAAAGTACTTACTACGTACTAACATTGATTAAAGATACATTCAATCAATGGTACTAGTGATGTGCACCACCGAGTAAAAACTATCGGTAGTTTAAACTATCTATTCTCTCGGATAATCGGTTCACCGATTAACTCGATTGTTTAAGCTATCAAAACAATCGACGATTGACCATCGAAACAAACGATATTGATTCGAAACAATCAACCGTTTTCGTTGTATCTAAGTAATACTAAGTAAATATAAAAACCGTTGATATTTGATAGTTTTGAATGCTTATTTTTTTGATACGTCTAGTAATTTACTAAAATATTTTATGTTATAAATACTTTTTTGTTATTTTACCTGAAACAATATTCAACCGGCTTGAATTTTATTTATTTCTGGCAGATCACTGTTATATTTTTTATAAACCATTCGTACATATAATACTTAATATTACTGGTGGAGAAAAGAAGTTTATGGTTATATTTCGTAATAGAGTATTCCTTTTCTGTCTACTAGATTTTTATTATTGGTCTGAATTTAAAATTAATCATCTTTCCTGGGTCAAAATTGAACTAAGATTGTTCTTTGAATTTTAAGTATTAATTTTATTGTTTTATTTAGTATCTAGATACTTGAAAATTATTGAATGGGTTAATTCGTTGTTCACCAACTATCTATTCAATATTCATGCAATAAAATACTTAATAGAACTAACTATTTATGCATAAAATAATTCTCAGTAGTTTTCAAAAACTATTCATGTATAAAATAATATTCGATAATTTCGATTGTTTTCAACAACTATCAATAGCCAAAACTAGTCGGTAGTACTCATCAGGTTGAATAGTTCAATGGATATTTTGAAAAATATTGAATAATTAATACTATCGTTCGTTTGAATAAACACTCGGTGTTTTATTAAACTATCCATAGTCAAAACTAGTCGGTAGTGTCCATAACTATTATTTACTACTAGTCACTATTATTTAGTTACTATTATGTACTACTAGTTTAGTACAGTACTAGTATACTATAAAAATTGCGAACGTATATTACTATTATTACGGTATATACACAAGGCTAATTAGATGTGGTTCAACCGAACGATGAAGAAGAATCGTCAGTCGCAGTGCAGCCGTTTCGCGCGTAATACAAAATATTGATACCCGCGGGGAAATTGCAAATAATCCTTTCCCGTTACCAGGTCAAACTATGCGATACGGTTATAATAGTGTAGCAACGACTGATTGATAATATCATGACCACGGTGCATTCACATAAAATTCTGTAGATAGTAGTCAGAGCATATAAAGCCGATTAACGAATGGATCTTCGCAAGAAAAAACCCAGAATCATGACGTCATTGTTAGTATTATCAATATTGTTCTTATCAAATTCAAATACTGTTTATAATTTAACTCGATAATTGTTTTTTTTTGTCAATTTTTTATGAATATATAAAATACCAGTTTAGCAACCATTCTTTATTTATATTTTTCATGTACCTTCTATAGTATTACATTTATTGTATTATAGTAATATACTATAATACTATAATATTTTATTTTTTATTTAATTTTAATAATTCATACAACGAATACTGGGCCCCACTGAAATAACTCGTGTGGGGGCCCAAGAATTCTTACATTAATACATGTTACAAATAGAAAGCAAATGTATAATAATTAAGAATAAAGATAAAAGTGCTTATAAATAAACATACATAAATAAATAAAAATTATAACAATTTACCTACTATTATTATATCGAATCATCTAAATCTAATAACCATTGAAAACATTTTTTTTTAAATAAACTAAGTGCAAGGATTAAGATATCAGAAGGAATTTTAGTTATTATTTTGGTACCTATTATTTGAAAATGTCTTCCTGAAGTGGTTTTATTCGGCCAATTTATTAAGAAATTATTTTTAGCATACCTGGTATTAATGTTATGTGGTACAGGATTTATCATATTATGTTTTTTTAGAAATATAACGATCGTTTTACAATATAATTTTTATATAGGAAGTAATTTTAATTCTTTATAAAGATTTTCAGTATGGTATCTTAGTGTTTTATTAAAGGTCACATTCAATATTTGATTTTGACAGATTTGTAATTCTTTTAGAACATTATTGAATGCACCTTCCCAACCAATTTTACCATAGTTAATGACCGATTCTACTAATGTTAAATATACACGGTGTTTCAAAAGTCTTCATCCGATTACCAACTGATAAAGTTCGGCAACGGTTAATCGCAGGTTAATGATTAATGTATTAATGGAAAGTTAGATAACTAAGTTTATTTTAAGTTATCTAGTTGATAAATTTGGCACCGTAATGGTTAGTGAACTAGGAACCATTAGTTTGTTTCGTTATGGCGACTCCGCAACAGAAAGTGTTTTGCGTCCTACGTTTCAATAAGTGCGAGTCGGCGATAACCGTTCAACGTGATTTTCGAAGAACTTATGGAACTGCTCAAAGCATTCGAGCCGCACTGCAAGTCAGAAGTTTTCCGGTATTTGAACGATGAACTCTCTCAGCGGTGAATTGGGCGTAAAGGAATCGACGATTTGGCGATTCATCCCTGGCCACCACGTTCCCCTGATTTCACAGTGTGTGATTTTTTTTTTATGGGGCTATATAAAAGATAAAGTGTATGTACCACCATTGCCTACAAACTTGGAAGAGCTTAAAATTAGAATCAAAGATGCTGTTAATGTTATGACACCAGATATGATTAGCAACGTTTGGGAAGAATTTGATTACCGTATAGATGTGTGTCGGGCGGCCGGTGGGGGTCATATTAAACATTTGTAACCAAAGTATATAAAACTTAAGTATTTTAAAAATATATTTTACTTTATTTCACCCTTATATCTTCATTTTTTAATACAAATATAAATTTTTGAAATGGGATGAAGACTTTTGATACACCGTGTACTTGCCGCAATTTAGTTGAATCTAATATGTTAAGCAAATCTCTAAAAATATAAATCATTTTTCTTACTTTTTTACTTAGAACATTTATTTGGTCTTTCCACCTCTTATTATTGCAGATTTCAACTCCTAAATATTTAACAGAGTTAGATATAATAATTGTTTCACAAGAACAATCTGTTGGTATATGGCATAATGTATTATGAATGTTTAAACATTTTTTTGTTGGTATTGAATTTTTGGTCAAAAGATGAAGAATGACATGAGTTTTCTTAAAATTAAGAAATAGATTATTATGGAGCAGCTATTGTTTTATTAATTTTAGATCTCTACTTATTAATTCAAATATTTCATACCATGAGTCTGCTTCACATAGCATTACAGTATCATCCGCGTAACAAATAATTTGACTTTTAAGGGGAAGTTCATGGATTTCATTTATTTGTACATTAAAGAAAATTGGTGAAATAACAGTACCATGAGGGACTCCATATTTTATTTGTTTAAAAGGGTTATGAAGAATTATTTATTTTGACACATTGTTTTCTGTTAGTTAAATACAAAGAAAATAATTTTAGATTATTACCACAAAAGCCTATTTGGTTTAATTTAGTTGTAAGAATGTTGTGATCCATAGTATCAAAGACTTTTGCTAAATTTAGATAAACTGTGGCACATTTTTTATTATTATCTAAAGATTTGTAAATGAAATTAGTAAGTTTTGCTATTGCTTGATCAGTTCCTTTGCCCAGACGAAAACCATATTGAGAAAAATGATTGTTATTTTCTAAAAAAGTAACTAATTTTTTTTTAATAATTTTCTCAAATATTTTTGCTATGTTAGAGATTACACATATGGGCCGAAAATTATTTATTGAATTAGAATTTCCTTTTTTATGGATTGGTGTTACTATGGATAATTTAAATACATTAGGTATAACTGATTGTCAAATACAAAGATTAAACATATACTTTATAGCATCGTTTCTCAACCTTTTTAGTGTCGCGACCCCTAAAATAGGTATAAAATATAGTCAATCACTCCGCGACCCCCCCTCCATATAGGTTAGGTACAAATTTAAACAGTAAAAATATCCTATCATTAACCAAACGAACTATAACATTTTAAATACCAATTTATAAATACCATATCTAGTAACTTAAGCTTATAAATTTTGAAAGTTATGTATCGGGTCGTTGGGAATTTCCATTAGTGGAGTAGTGCCCATTTTATTGATGAGATATCTACATTTAATCGACCGCTTATTATTGTTATTTTTAATATTATTTTTGTGTGTTATGAAACGATTAATTTATCGATGACAGTCGCGCGTCGCTCGTGTTGTTAAATTCATGTGATATTGCGTTTATTAAGTTGGTTTTTAGTGGGTCTTTTTAGTTTTGTGTAATTTGAATTAATG